ACTTTCCTACTCCGTAAAGCATTTCAGAAAACCCCGTCACCCTCCGTACAAAAATTAATATTAATGTATATATATTTAGTTCTTATATGTATTCCTTTTTTCCATAAAACAATATAAAAATGTCTATGAAATTACACCTTTTAAACAAATGCAGTTAATAATCTACATATTTAGCTCTCATACGCCCCCCCCCCCTTTTTTTCATAAAAAAATTATATGCCTCCGCTCCCATTAAAAGTCTGATTCCCTCGTTAGCAAACAGTGTTATACATAATCTTTTTTTTTTGTGTGTTTCTCTGTTAGAGTGAGAATAAGAATTAGGGTTAAAGTTTGGATCAATTAGCATTAGAATTACCCGGGTAGCGATTTTAGCAATTGTTATAACGTACCATTTGATAAAAAATGTATTAAACTAAAAATAAACATCAGCTTTATACACGTTTTGAAGAAAAAAGTATAATGCAACTGGTGCATTACTTGAAGCTTACGTGTTACAATTTGAATTTGTTTTGTCTTATTGTAATTGATGAAGTACACATTTTTAAAGTTTAAGACAGACACATGCATTTTCAGCAAGTATGAAAACATTAACAAAATGTTATAATACGCTGTACAAACTATTCCATTATTTACATGTGTATAGCTTTTAAAATAAAAATCATTTAAGCTTATAACAAAATTAATAATAAATTTTATAGGTCTGTTGGCTTTCTTAAGATGGTAAAATCAACCCTTGCTTGTGGTCTACAAGAATGTTTGAGTAAAGAATGGATGGGAGATAACTTCAGGGACTTTAGAGTTGTGGTTGATGACTCAGAGTATTTCTGTCACAAATTTATTCTAAGTGCCTGCTCCACTTTCTTTAAAACTTTGTTGGGATCGGATTTTAAAGAAAATAAAGACGAACGTGTTGAGTTAAAGAACATGAGTAAAGAGACTTTTGATGTTATAATCAATTCCATCTATAACGGTATTGATGGGCTAACACTGGATAATGTCATTGATGTATGGCAAGCGGTACACCTGTTAGAAATTCCGTTTCTAATTCGCGAATGTGAGAAATTAGTGGTTAAAAATATGTCACGGAATAATTTTGTTGAGTTTTGTGAAATGGCGAAGCTTTTGAATTCAGAAAGTGTATTTTCAGCGTCGATCAATTTCATGAAAGAAAACTTTGATTTGTTTCGTGAGACTGAGACTTTTCTTGAACTTTCATTTCCAGTTTTGTTTTCATTGGTTGATGATGATAATCTCAATGTTGAATCAGAAGATTTAGTTCTAGAGTCCATTCTCAAGTGGGTTGATTATGGAAAAATTAAAACGTTTCAAGCTGAGACAAATAGTGTAGATATAGATACAGAAGATACAGTTAAAATAACATCAGAGGCAGATTGTCATGAAAAATCTTTAAGCAATCTCGCTGCGGAAGAAAGCATTTCTGACATGAATGATGAAACGCACGCACTTGATGATATTTCAGACAGAGACCAAAGTCTTCCTGAACAGTTGTCAAATTTAACAGTACAAGATGAAAAAGAAACATCATGTTCTGAAGTAGAAGCTGAAAGTGTACAGCCATATGTTAAATTCAACACAGAGAGAGAAATGTTAGATAGAAAGAAATGTCTTGTCGAACTATTATCTACAGCAAGAACATTTTTAGCAAGTCGAAGTTATCTCGAGAAAATTCATGGCAATCCGTTAATACGCGAATGTCTAGAAGCTCTCGAAATAGTGCATGAAGCTTTGTTATACCAATGGAGATCTGTTTCTTTTCCCAGTAACTTTGTCATCCCGCACAGAAATTCTAGCGGCAAACGAAATGTCATGGCGTTTGTTCAGAACAAAAATGTACATTTATTTGAATTGAATAGCGAGCGAGTGGTGGAGATGGGGCTTGCTTTGTGTGTTGGTAACTGCTTAGCATCAGCTGAATCAACACTTTGTTTCTATTATATGAAAGAAACCCAAAACTGTGAAGTTGATACGGATCGTGAGTTAAAATACAGGCATGCCTGTAAAACAAAAAATATTGCCATTATTGATTCAAGCAAAAAAGTAAATATAATTTCTAAGGCTTGTGGTCATTCGGGTTTGCATCTTATTTCATGCAATGGGATTTTTGTTAACATTAATAATACGAAACTTAAAAGAGAGCCTGAAAATAACTTTTTAAATATTGTGGAGTGTGGGAGCCTAGAAGGTTCAAGTTCTGTTTGTGTTTTTCAAGATTATATTATTGGATTTTATTATAAAAAGAAATATGAGAGTGGTCGGTACTCCACATGCTCTGAAGGCAATTGTTTCAACATTTATACAAAAACGACTCAAACACTTTTTGTAGACGGACCGTCGGAAAATATTATCAGTATTCAAAAAGGCAGGCATGTTTTTATTCTACAAAAAAATGGCGCTTTAAGATCAGTCGGCATGGCAGAAAATGCTATGATTGAAATAACATTTTTTATTCAACTTTGGGAAAACTTTGATTGGATTTTAAAAGGTGCCGTGTACTACAAAAACGAATTGATTTTATTTTGTTCAGAAAAACACAAAGATGTGGACACAGGTTTGTTAAAATCTGTACCGGGAGTGTTTGAGAGGATAAGAGTTGTTGAGCTAGAAAGTGAGTCTAACGTAGTTCCGTTAGTTGTGCCAGAATCTTGGATGTCCAACAGCAGCAGTGATAAGTAAAAAATGATTTAAAATTTGGTCCTAACGAAAATATACCTCAACAGGCTAGTGGTGGTATAGGAACAATTAGAAAGGTATGTTATTCTGTTAAAATTAATTGCAGGATGGATCACACGTACCTACATAATGGTATGTTATAAAAGGTAAAACGTATGAAGAAATTGCTTACAGTAGGTTGTTTTTTTCAAACACATACGCTGTAGGGCCTATTTAAGATGCTAAACGTTCCATATATTTTTTAGTTGAAGTTTTAATGTTTGAAAATTCTTTTTCTTGAAACATGCTTTTTTAAACAATTTTTGTACAATATTTGTTAAATCTTAGGTATCTTCAGCAATAATCTGCATTGGATACTTATTTAGCTTTATTGAAGTTTCAGAATTAGTATTCCTTGTTTATTTTATAATACATATTTTTATAATTTTTTATTCTATTACATTTTAATGGCAACTAACTAAATCAATGCCGTCTGCAATGGTACTAGCTAATAATATAATATCGTAGGCCTATTTGATTGTATTATTGATTTTTTTGATTTTTTAAAACGTGTGCTAGATTTTTCTGGTGTGTGGACTCTTGGCACATGTGTATAGTATGTTGCTGTAAACAGAAATGAACAGAATTATAAGAAAGTAACTCTTTAATAATCACTTATTAATTAAAATACACGTTGCCTTTTTAGTTAACTAAATTTTAATTTGAGCTTTTCATATATACATACACACACACACACACACACATATATATATATATATATATATATATATATATATATATATATATATATATATATATATATATATATATATATATATATATACTTTGTTTCTTGGGGGGGGGGGGGTGAAACAACGAAGTGTCGCACCGGGTGACACCCGACCTAGCGACGCCACTGATGCTATGCGACTGCTTTAAGATCACATGACTGAATGATTTTACATTACTAAATAAGAAAAGCAATTAGGTAAACTTTATTAGATCTGTGTTATATATACGACAAAAAAGGTACTTTAGGCTTGCTGAAATAAAAACGTTAATGTTTAGTAGGACTATACGCCTATTTAATTATTGGAGACCTAATGTAACTATAAAACTATTAAACTACTGCAAAAATATTGTATTGTTCTTTCTTAGTCATACTATGTTGTTTTGTTGTGTTATTAATAAATTTGTATGGAGTTGGTTAAGTTCGTTGTTATTGTAGCTAAACCGAGGTTCGCTAGCTAGGGCTAGGGACAGCCAACCATCTAGGAGAGAAAACTCCAAAATCAAACAACTTCGGCTTTGGAGTTTGTTCTTGGATTAACAAAGGCTCAGAGTTTCTTTCAGGCATCTCTTCGAAGGGGCTGAGCGCCGCCCCCCCCCACCCCCGAAGAAATTCTACCGCCCTCCCCCCCCCCCACCCCCGAAGAAAGTCTACCGCCCTCCCCCCCCCCCCCCGAACGAAATGAAATTTTTATAGAAAATATATACTTTTACCAGTGTCCTACCCCTCCGAAAAATGTATCCCTCCTCCCCCCCCCACCGATGATTCCCCCCTCCTCCCCCCCCCCGCCGGAGAGAAAAGCGTCTGAAAGAAACACTGCAAAGTCTATGGAAGCAAATCACATAAGAAAAGAAGGATGCAACGGGGTCGACGGCATATATGGCGCATAAAGGTTAACAGTCAATACTAAATTGTATTGAAGAAAATACAATCGAACATACACTTTTAAACGAAGAAGAAGAATCGAAGTTAATGTAGTAATAGAAAAACTGATTTTTATCAAAAGTACAAACAGAATGATTTTATTAGGATTTTTCAACAATAACATTCAAACTATTGGTAGACTATACAGAGGCGTAGCGACTCTTCCCGGCGCCCGGGGACAAACTTTCGATTTGCACCCCCTCAAACGTTCGATTTGCACCTCTCAAACTTTTGATTTGCACCCCCCCCCCCCTCAAACTTTCGATTTGCACACCCCCTCAAACTTTTGATTAGCACCCTCCCCCCCTCAAACTTTCGATTAGCACTCCCCCATTAAACTTTTGATTTACAACCCCCCTCAAACTTTCGATTTGCACCCCCCCCCCTCAAACTTTCGATTACTTTTTCCAACCCATTTTGGCGTCCCCTAAGGTCGGCGCCTGGGGAGATATGTCCCCCCTGCCCCCCCCCCCCATCGCTACGCCTCTGAGACTATACAGTATACAGGACATAAAAGATAAATAAAAATTGGTGGGCTAATAATAACCGCTGAAGCAGTCGTCACAAAGAGAATCTGGCCACTTGTTATGTGTAGGAACTACTAGACATTATTTTGGGAAGATTTACAAGGGAAGCCACTCTCAATTTCTAAGAAATATGAACGAGTTTGAAACAGTCTGAAACAACTCAGTTGAACTCCGTGCCGTTAAGTCATTACTTTTAAATTCAAAACCAAATTAAAACACAAATTCACTGTTTCTAAAATCTATAGATTATAGATTCTGATCTAGACATCTAGATCTTCTAGTTTAGTAGGCCTACAACATTCATTATAAAAAATAAATAAAGTTGACTGTAGTAAGTACTGTAAGTAGGTAGTTAAAGTACGGTAATCTATAGTTTTAGCGTAATCAATTCGGCTGCAGTAGTAATGTGCGGGAGAGGTAGCTGATGAATATATTTGTTTAAATAAGTTTATTTAAGTCAAATTTTACAAAATATCACAGATAATTGATTTAAAATAACAAACAGTGACCAAAACAATTTAAATAACATGAAACTAACTTTAAACTAGGTGTTTGAGATAAATATTAGTAGAAAAAAAACAGCGGCCATCTTTCCAAATAAAATTTAGAGTAGTTTCCCTGGATAAAAATGTCTATTCGTATGTATATTGTGTTGACTTTGTTGTTTAATATACATACCTGTCTTGTTTAATATAAGTAAGACAGAGGGCCGACTTCTTATCTTTAATTTCATTTTCAAGTGAAATGAAGGCTATGTATGTATGTACATCCAAGATCTCAAAAAATTTTTGGGAGGTCCAACATTTACTAAACCCTTTTGTACTGATTAGGGGTCGTCCATAAATGACATCACAATCGTAGGGGGGAGGGGGGGGTCGGTAATTTTGTGACGATGTGTGATGAGGGGGAGGGGGGGGGGGGTTCAGATGGTGCGACGTCACACTTTTGCTTTATAGATAAGAAATGTTAGAAAACGAATTTTAGACATTATTTAGCTTTTTAGAAAACAGTTTTAATAAATTATAATAGGAATTGATTAAAATACTATATTTTGACATATTTCAGACAAGATTTTGGAAAAATATCGATGTTTTAAAAAAAAAATCAACTGCAATTTTGAGGGGGGGGGGGGTTGTAGGCTGATGTGTGACGTCATTTTAGGGGGGGGGGGTCTGACTTTTTGTGACGACGTGTGAGGGAGGGGAGGAGGGGAGGTAAAAATCGTCAAAAAAAGCGTGACGTCATTTATGGATGACCCCTTAACTTGTCAATTATTAGGTCGTCCATATTCCTCATAAATGACGTTGGACTCAAAATATGGGACGGTGTAAAATATTTTTTAAAAAATGATGAAGAATATATTCGTTTTCGTTAGAAATTGTGATTAAGGGTTCGGGTATAGTAGAACTGCGATATGATATTAAATCATCATCTTGCTTTTAGTAACTATTGGGTGAGAGGGAAATTGTCGGGAAAAGTATGACGTCATTTATGGGCGATCCATTTAATTAAGCCTAGTTGTTTATTTTGTCTGTAGACATTAGTCTTAGGCCTACACTTTTTCTGAATTAAGATTATTGTGTTTTTTAAATAGGTTCAAATTTTAATTAGTTACATTTGAATACCACATGGTTTGTTGTTTTTTTTCTTTGCCTTCTGCTGTCATCAGTTTTTGATTTCTTCAGTAGTCAATGTTTACCCCTCCCCACCATCCATTATTACAAAAAAAAAAAAAAACACCCACTATATGTGTCATAGCGTAGATATATAGAATTAGACTAGACGAGTAGAGGTTACTAAGGACGGTACGAACTTGACGGTAGATGATTTGGTGCGAGAGTATTGTGCGCGCGTTCAATAAAATATGTGTGGCGTGAGTGTGACGTGAGCATGGTGCGACAATGTACCGATGTCGTAAGACGCAGCAGTGAAGTTAGTTGGGGGTTAGATATAGTAGAAGGCGGACGTATTATTTGATATTGTGAAAATGATCTATACGTGTGTGTTAATTAAGTTCATGTTATTTAATAAACTAAGTTGTTGACATTGTTAATTAGTGTCTGCGGAACATAAGAGTGATTCCCGTCCTCCTCACGAGTATAATAGTTGCCGTATGAATAGTAGTAGATCAGAATATATTGAGATTATATATAAACCGCCCATCACAATATAGTGATATCTCCCTCTAGAAAAAAATTAGATCAACGTATAGTTCGTAGGAAAATTAGAATCTATCACTCATTCGTCTGTTTAAAAAAAAGAAATACGTCATTTTTCTCAACCACGCCGTTTCATCCCCCACTAAGCACAACGTCACAAAGTTCGCGGCGCGCGTGACGTCATTTGTCATTAGGCTAATGTTTAAGAAAGATACCGCGTAATTAAAAAAAAAAAAAACAGGCACTAAATCACTATGGCGATAAGACTTTAACGACGTTTAGCCTGACGAATAGATCTAAATGACTTTAGTTCGGTGAATTATATTGGTGTTTAATTTATTACAGTGGCATGATGTTCTCCCTCTACTATACAAATTCACGTGCTTTTAATTTCTGCAACATGCTGCCCTGAGACGTTCGGCTCTAAAATGCCCGTGACACAGCGGCTTCGGTAAATGCATTTAGGCTCCCGGTCCCACCTGTAAACGTCTGTCCTTTAAGCTCCACGCAAAACGTGTGATTAATATGTGGACATAAGCGGCGCTAGTGGTGGTGTCAACAGGGGCCAAGCTCAGGTCTTAAAGGTGCTCCGCACTTCATAAAAGACAAAATTGATGTTCAGATATCGTCGGACTCTGGCGTTTTGCCGACGGCCGTACTCCTAATGCACAGTCTTAGAGGCTGTCCACTGCTAACAATATTTTATGTTAAATTCAAGCCTATACTGAGCTGTGGCTTTACATTAGCTCAGTGGCGTAGCGAGGTCGGGTGTCACCCGGTGCGGCACTTAATGGTGTCACCCCCCCCCCCCCCCAGAGGCGACAAACTTTCAATTTTCGATTTGTCCCATTTTACCTGCTAGTCAATAATTGTCTTGGACTCTTGTCGAATATTGCTGCCAGGAGCTACTTGGTTTTAGCCTTGTTGTCAGAAGTTATTTCATTTGGAGTCAATATAGTGCAGTCTATTTTCGTCGGTAGGCATTTAATGGCAGGCCCTTTTTGGCGGGAATGATGTGCTGAGGTTGTTTAACACCGCTTAGTACAACAGGCATGCAATAGTTATGAACAAATGTATGTGTGATAGATTGACGAGGAGCCACATTGGTGTTAACAGCCTTTTATTTACAGACAGCCATGATGCCAAGAGAGAGGAAGTGGCGAGAGACAACTATTTATAGATAACAACATGTAAGGGACATCACTCAAGATAACAATATAAATATAATACTAATACAGAAGAGTGAGTTCCCTTGACCTCACAATTATCTCAATCTATTACATCCCTTTACCCTTAGAACACAATAACACATCTCTCAATAGAACAATTGATAGTATCCTAAAATCACCAATTATATTGTAACATGAACACTATGGTAGATTACATCCTTACAAACAATGCACAATATGCTACAACATAATCAAGATACAAAACAATGATGTCAAAGTCCTTTTGACCTTTAAAATCATAGGTCTAACTTATTTGGGACTTTGATTGTCCTGTTTGACCTTCTCAGTGGTTTTTGATTTGGTGACTCAAGATTCTGACCATCTGGATTCTCTATCTCAGGAGGTCTAGGATTTAAATCATTAACTCCAGAATTTACATTTTCTGACTCCAGACAACTTGGTTCACTCATATCAACAGAAATTGGTTGTGGAACAAACTGAGTTGGTGTGAACTGATCAGACTTGGTGGGATTGACAGATTCACACTTATTATCTGCACAAGTTATTTTTAACTTTATAAGGCACAGGTCCTGTACATTGAACAATTTGACCTGGTATCCATTTTTCCTTTCTCCCATAATTTCTTAGATACACATTCTCATTAACACCAAATTCTCTTTCAATGGGTGTTCTGTCATGATTTACTTTTTGAATTGGCATCTGAAAGTATTATGCTATTATTCAGATCCTTAACTGGCATAGATTTCTTTGATTGATCAATTTCCTCAGGTAATCTGATAGTGCTTTTTCGTAACCAAAAATACTGTTTAAAAGTAATATCCTGGACCATATCACTTTGCAACTGTGATCCAGTATTTGAAATGGGTGTATTAAATGGCAAAAATCTTTTTCTTCTTTTGATGTTACCCTTTTAGTTTCTGTAAGTGCTAATGATGTTAGCAAAGTTGTTTGATGATCACATTCCTTCTTACTAATGTATTCTCTTTAAAACATTTGAAATTGCCATATCACCATAATCATTTATTAAGTTACAAATACTTTGTTTAGGTAGCTCTGACTGATAATGGACTGCATCTTCTCCATCTTTTATATTATCTTCACAAAGGTTTTTATTTCTTATTTAATATGGCCTTAAGTCATCATTCACAGACTCTTCAGGCCAACCATTCATACAGTGCTCATATACTTTTATTAAGCACTCATCTTTTTGTGTTTCTCTTTTAATATCATTTACATTTATATTGGAGTTATCCATGATAGTGAAGAGAACAAATACATCTTCTGGTACATAGCTCAGGCTCTGGTTTTTTAAAGGTAATCTACTAAGACTATCTGCACTATTCTCAGATCCAGGTTTGTATTTCAATTCATAATTGTATGCATTTAGTGTGATAGCCCATCTTTGAATTCTTGGAGAGGCATGCTCAGGTAGGGTTTTGTTTTCTCCAAATAAACCTAGCAATGGTTTATGATCTGTACAGATGGTGAACTTCCTACCAAACAGAAACTTATGAAATTTCTTAACACCAAAAATGATGCCTAAGCCTTCCCTATCTAACTGAGAATAATTTTTCTCAGCCTGGTTCAAAGATCTACTGGCAAAAGCAATGGGTCTGTCACCCTTCTCATCCATGTGGGACAAGACTGCTCCTACACCATCTGGTGAAGCATCACATGTTAATATAAGTCTTTTCCCTGGGTCATAGTGAGTTAGTAAGGTGTCAGAAGACAAAGCCTCTTTTGCTGTATTAAAAGCAGTATCTTGTTGTTTACCCCAGTGCCAAGTTGCATTTTTCTGTAGCAGCTTGTACAGTGGTGATAGTTTACCAGACAGATTCCCTATGAACTTTGCATAGTAATTTATTAAGCCCAAAAAAGCTCTTAGTTGTTGGGTATTTTCAGGTTTGGGTGCTTCTTTAATGGCTTTTGTTTTCTCAGGTTGAGGTCTGATACCTTGCTTGCTTAATATATAACCAAGAAAACTAATTTCTGTCAGCATGAATTGACATTTATCTTTGTTTATCTTTAAACCTTTTTCACCAACAATTTTCAATACTTTATCAAGTGTTTTAAGATGTTCAGTGTCATTCTTACCAGTTATGTACACATTGTCAAAGTACACACAAACATTTGGAATATCCTTAAAAATACTGTCCATGACAGCTTGGAAAATTCCAGGGCTGGATGATATGCCAAAACATAGTCTTTCATATTGGTAGAGTCCTTTATGTGTGTTTATTGTCGTATAGACTTTTGAATCTGGATGCAGTTCTAGTTGAGTGAAAGCATGACTAAAGTCTAATTCAGTGAATTTGTCTCCTCCTGCCAAATTCAAAGAGATTTCCTCAATGTTAGGTATAGGGTACATATTTAGCTCTATTTGCTTATTCAGTGTAGTTTTTAATCTCCACAAATTCTTATAGAACCATCCTTCTTTAACACTGGCACAATGGGCGTTGCCCAATCGGAATAGTCTACCTTCTTTATGATGCCATTAGATTCCAATCTACTTAGCTCATTTTCAATTTTATTCCTCATTGCATAAGGTGGAACTCTAGCTTTGCAGTATCTTGGATTTGTGTCTTTAATGCTTAACTTCACTGTTCTATCATTTAGTAATCCAGAGTTACCAAAAACACATTTATTTTCAGATATAACTCTATCTAGTGAAGTAAGACTAGATTCTTTTACATTCTTCAATGAACAAATACTCTCCCAATTTAACTTAAGATCACTTAACCAGTTCCTACCTAGTAATGGCGGTCCATTTCCTTCAACCACAAGAAGAGGAAGTTTAACACTTTGACCATTATAACTTACATGAACCATACACTCTCCTATTACCGGAACATTGTCACCAGTGTATGTTGTTAGACACTTGTGACACGGCTGTAGAGACACTGATCCTCCTGTGACAGCGTCAAAATCTTTCTTTGTTATGACTGTTAGAGATGCTCCAGTGTCAAGTTGGAAGCTGATGCTCTTACCGTTAATATTAACTTGTACATTGATGGGAGCATGACTTATTGATTTCACAGAGAACAGGTTGAAATCCGGCTGCGAATCAGTTTGAGCATTTTTACAGGTAGAGTGGTTCATTGGTTGGGTTAGGTAGTTTTGGTGAGAGTTAACATAGTGCTGCCTTTGGTTGCGGTACTGTCTTGACTGGCTAGATTTAGCAACAGACGAAGACTTTGCAAAGCAGGCCTTAGCAATGTGACCTTGCTTACTGCACTTATAACAAGTTGCAGACTTGAACTTGCACCGATGAGATGCATGGGGACCCTTGCATCGATGACATTTTTGATAATTATTACTAGATTTAGATCTAGGATTTGAACGAGCAGGCTGTTTAGCATAAGTTGGAATGCTCTGATGGGGTTGATATTTATTGACTAACCTGCTGTTTACTGCATGGATCTCTGAAGGTGCTAGAGATTTTGCCGCATCTGATGACTGCTGGAATGACATTGCAAGTTGTATTGCTTTTTCCAATTTTAGATCTGACTCGAGCAGCAACTTTCTTTGAATATCAGGGCTGTTTACACCTGTCACAAACTTTTCACATAGTCTGTCAGACAGCGTATCGCCGAATTCACAAAATCTACTTAAATGACGTAAAGCAGCAACATATTCTGATATTGACTCGTTTGGTTGACGAGTCCTACTGTCAAATCTAGCTCTGCATAGAAACTTTGATGGGGTAGGCGCATGGTGGTCTGTTAGCAATTTGCTCAGCTCGTTAAAGCTCTTGGTAGTTAGACTAGCTGGTGCGCATAAGTCTTTTAGTAGCCTAAATTGTTGAGGCCCTATGACTGTTAACAAAACAGCTCTCTTTTTGGCTTCTATCGTCACGTCGTTAGCTTCAAGGTAAAAGCTTAACCTATCTAGGTAATCTTGAATGATTTCATCATTCGCATCAAATTCTTTTATTTGGCCATACAGCGCCATTATTCTAGAAATAATTAGCTAATAAGCTCTAGCAAACCTCTTTTTTGCGTAAGTAGGTGCTCTTTCTAGTAGATGTTTATCCTTCGTCGCCAAAATGTGATAGATTGACGAGGAGCCACATTGGTGTTAACAGCCTTTATTTACAGACAGCCATGATGCAAAGAGAGAGGAAGCAAGTGGCGAGAGACAACTATTTATAGATAACAACATGTAAGGGACATCACTCAAGATAACAATATAAATATAATACTAATACAGAAGAGTGAGTTCCCTTGACCTCACAATTATCTCAATCTATTACAGTATGCATGAAAACGAACGCTTTATGTTCCTCATTTTCATTGAGCACAGCTTTATAGAAGATTCCAAAATAGACGTCACGCATTCCCCCCCCCCCCAACCACCCTGCGTAAGTTGACGTCACATTAGCATAGCATATGTGACATCGTTTATGGACAACCCCATATAACTCATTTTGGGTATTTGGTATCAACATTATGACAATAAAGGTTATTCAAAATGTATATAGGACTTGACATCTACCATAAATGACATCACGCACGGGTGGAGTAACTGGTTTTGAGACGACGTTTTACGTGGGAAGCGGGAGGGGTAAGAAACGTGAAACGTTATGTATTTCGCCTAATACAAAAATGCTAAAAATATTTTTCATTAGAATTATGGCTTGACTTTTTAATAGACAGGGCAAAAAGGTAATTTTCGACATTACGACTATTTCGTGACGGCGAAAATGGGGGGTGGGGGGGGGGGGGGTTAAGGTAAAGAGAGGTAAAAAATGGGACGTCATTTATGATTAAATCACTAATTAAAGGAAAAAAGCATGAAAATATTAAATGAAAATAGGAAACAAACAATAACACAAACAATAAGAATGAACTCAAACTAATATTTAAATAAACATTAGATATGTAGTGGTAGCTCTATAAAAATAGGGACTATCTTAATGTATAAAAATTGCATCTCATAATAATAATTCTAGAACTGATGTTTATTGTCAGTCAATTAAATTGTTTAAAGGGCAGAATTTAAAAAAAAAAACGCATGCTTTGTATTTAAACACAAGACTAACCTATTTAATAGCAAACATCAATACATTTCCATACAAATAGAAATTAAAGGGAAATGACTCAAAATAATATTTTCTTAAGATGGCCGCTGTTTTTAATAGCAAATTTAGTATCTGTAACATCGTTGTTAAACTTTAATTTCCTGACATTTTTATTGATTTAAACCTTAAATGTGGTTTAATATTCAATTATCTTTAGTATTTTAGTAAAATATGCAAAAATATATCCATATTTAAGCCATATTTATTAGTTACCTTATCCCTACATTACTAGTGACGGCCGAATTGATTACGCTAAAGCGATAGATTACCTCTAAAGTAGTTAGTAAAGTAGGCCTACTTGTATTTTGTAAGAAAGTAAAAAAAATCTAGATCTAGATCTAGTAGGCTAGGCCTAAGTTAAATTTTGCTGTTTTGAGAAATAGGGAAGTTTACTCACTAGGCTTAGGCCTATTTATTATAATTTAATATTTAATTTAGTTTATTAGGCCCTACCCTACTACTACTACTTTGACTTTGTATTAGCAGTGTTTCTGGCTAGCAGTAGAGCACTCTACAACACGACCCCCCGCCGTCCTTGTGTGTATATAGTAGAACATAATAAAATTATTATCCACTGAGGACTGTATCAAAGTTACTTTTAGCTGGTTTTCTGACCCAAGCCCTACCTATTATACAACAGTAGTAAAAACTCCAATCATTGTCTATATTCTTGCTTAGAAACTAGGAACTAATAGTATCATTCAATTCTTAGTATTATTAAATTCTTAGCCTAACGTGTAACTATTAGCTAAAGCAGGAAGTACACATTTACTAAAACTACCAACCATAATGTCAATTAAATTGATATTAAAATCTTTTTGAATTTTAATTAAAAGCACTAGGCCTATAGTCTATAGGCCTATTATTAATTAAATAACCAGTATTCTTGTGTATTGGGTCATTGAACTCCCCACTTAATATTTACTCGTAAAAAACATTGTAATCAGGCAAAAAATTAATAACCTGTTCAGTTTTTCATTTTAGATAGAAAATAAAACTTAAAATTAAAACATGATCTATTCAACATAATTGTTTTAAAAATATTAACATAAAATTAATATTAATCCTTAGTCAAAAAAATAAAATGAAGCCAGTTATAGTAACTTATAGTTATATTGTTAAAGTAAAATTTCAATTCTGAAATAAAGGTAGGCATTAACCACAATGTTCATGGTTTCTGATCATAGTGAAAAGTATTTGCAGCTATCCCTATAGTTAAAAGCATTCTTTGTAAATGTAATGTCTCACAAGTAAGATGTCTTGAGTAAGTGAACTAAAAACTATTGCAGTGTAAAACTTCAAATCCATGCAACAGCAATGTTTGTAATTAAGGGGAAATAACTGATATTACTAACTTTATAATTAAAGTTCCATGTTAAGTTAGCCAGATATTAAGACTTGTTTGTATTTTAAATTTACTCATATTAATATACTATCATAATTAACATCTACCTGACACATTTTATGATCAATTATACCTAAATACATACGTTAAACAAACAACCACATTAGAGAATATTGCTGTTTAGGTTAAAATAATTTGTGAAAATTTACAGGTTGTTTTAACATTGTATTGTTAACAAGATGGTCAAATCAATCCTTGCTTGTGGACTACAAGAATGTTTGAGTAAAGAATGGATGGGAGATAACTTCAGTGACTTTAGAGTTGTGGTTGATGGCTCACAGTATTTCTGTCACAAGTTTATTCTAAGTGCCTGCTCAACTTTCTTTAAGACTTTGTTGAGTTCGGATTTCAGAGAAAAGAAAGAAGAATGTGTTGAGTTAAAGAACATGAGTAAAGAGACTTTTGATGTTATAATCAATGCAATTTACAAAGGTGTTGATGATCTGACAAAAGACAACATCATTAGTGTGTGGCAAGCTACTCATATGTTGCATATACCATTTCTTATAGAAGAATGTGAAAGATTTGTAGTGGAAAATATGTCCCAAGATAATTTTGTTACATTTTATGAAATTGCAACGCTTTTGAACTCAAAAAGTGTGATTTCTTTAGCAACAGACTTCATAAAAAAACATTATGAGCAATTTATTGAAACCGATACCTTTCTTGAATTAAAGCACTCTGTATTACTTTATTTGATTGATGATGATTGTCTTAATGTGTTGTCTGAAGATGTTGTTTTAGATTCCATCATTAATTGGGTCTCGTATATAAATTACAAGAGCTACCAAACAAAAGACTCAGGTAAAGATAATTTAGTGACATCATCATCTGATTTTGCAAGCAAGGAGAATACTGAGTGTGATTTATCTATATACAATCAGCTGGATAAAACTGCTAACTCCAAATTAGACTCAAACAAGGAAATGATGGACAGAAAGCAGTATCTTGTTGGATTGTTGACAATGGCCAGACCATTTTTAGCCAGTCGAAGCTACCTCGAAAACCTTTTAATAAATCCATTGATAAGGGAGAATGAGAAAGCTCTTAAGATTGTGTACGAAGCTTTGTTGTACCAATGGACATCTGTTTCTTATTCCCGTAACTTAGTGATCCCACATAGAAAATGCAGCGGTAAACGAAATGTCATGGCATATATTCACAAAAACAAACTGAACTTGCTTGATGTAGAAAGTTTAAGAACATTTGAGCTTGATTTGGGTTTAGTGTTAGGTACTTGTTGGGATAATGCTTCAAAAGATGGTCACAGAAGCAAGGTGCTAGCATCAATTGAGTCCTCACTTTGTTTTGTGTATTCAAACACTGGTAAAGTCAATTGTGAATTCAGTAAAAGAAATCATCTTTGCTGTTATAAAAATGTTGCAATTATTGATGAAAATAAGAAGGTATCCACACTTAAGACATTTTGTGGAGAGTCTCCACTTGAAATAGTATCAGTAAATAGAGATTTTATTGCTGTTGGTGATTGTACATTTAAAACAGTAATGGAAGATGGTGCTTTTAGCTGTGTTGACTTTAAGTTCTCATTACCTGTAAGTTCAGTATGTGTTTTTCAAGATTACATTTTGATATTTTATAACAAAAATGGTACTTCAAAAGTACAATGTTGCAATATGTCTACAAAGTCTTCTCAGGAAATCGACTTTGACAGCCAAGTAAACACAATTATAACAATTCAAAAAGGAAGGCAAGTGTATATTCTTTTACAAAGTGGTACTTTGAAAGAGGTAGAAATTGCTAAAAACAGTACAATTAGTTTTAAGCTTGTTACTCAACTTTGGACCAGTTTAAATCAGATCTTACTTGGAGCAGTATGTTACAAAGATGAGTTATTGCTGTTTTGTTCTAAATACTCATTTTTGCGCCTTAGTTTGTTAAAATCTGTACCTGGGATTTTTGAGTCCATAAGAGTTATTGAAGTAGACAGCGACTCAAACATAGTTCCATTAGTGGTCTCAGAATCTTGGTGCTCAAAACTAATATAATCCCAAGTTTGATGCTAGTTTTTTGTTATTGTTTTTTAAGGTTATTATTGTTAATTTGAAACTGTTTTAACTAGAGGATACAATCTCTTGATATGCATACCCTGAGTTGTCATTAAACAAAGTTTGTAAGTTTAGGCAAACTTTGTTAACTAGTAACTTTAAACAAGCGCTCAAATAAGAAGAAAGTTAAAGAATGTTGCTTATGTTCCCAGAGATATTTGTCTTGTTAAAGTTAAATATTTGTACCATGAAGAGATGCAAATCAGCATTACGGGTTATTGTGTCAGTAATTATATTATAATGTGCATCCTTTTTATGTTTTTGCTTATTGATGTCACTGAATTATTATTGAATATATAGGTTTTTAAATAAGATTTACATTATGGTAGTCTAGTCTTGTTAGAAAACAAATATTGCTTACTTTTTTTAACATAAACTTGTAATGTAGGCTACATGTGGTTTACAGTTAAAATACCAAAAAATGCAATTACTGATTTTACTTAGCTCTACTGCTTGCCAAAAATGAAACTAATAGACAGATGTACTAATACTTTTTGAACTGTTCCATTTCATCAATAAAATGTTAAATATTTGTTATTATTTGGAAAAAAGATTGTGATCAACACTGATTGTTAAAACATTTTTTATTGTTGATTTTTTTGTTTTGTTTGTTAAATAGACCTTTGTTATTTATCATTTTAAAAGAAATAAAATATTGAACTCTAAAAACTGGTTATTAAATTAGTTTAAAACAAAATGGAAAATCCAAAAAAAGTACCTCATTAAACTTACTATTATATGACATGAGTGTTACTTTTAAAATTTCTTGAGGAAATAGCCCTATGTAATTAAAATTTACTCTCTACTTTTGTCTCATATGTTAAAAGAAATAATGAATAATAGTTTCTCTGCTTATTTATCCAACCTTTATAAATTAAGTAGTTTAGGAAAAGTAAAAATAGAGAAAATCAAAGGTAATCTACCAAGGTCTACTTTAGCCTGCATCACTTTTTTAAATATAAAGAGATAAAGGAATGTGTTGAAATTGTGTACAAATAACAATGGATGTAGCCCAACCTAATATACCTCCAACCATTAATTTTTTGAGCATCAATATAAAACTACAGTGAGTCAAGTGAATAGCTTTTTACTCTCAAGGGCCTAATACATCTTATTGCTTACCTTCAATACACTGTGTATAAGCAAATAGTTCAATAGTTGATAAATTTAAAAATACAATTAAAAAACTAATTGAAAATAAAAGAAATGCTATCAGAGCAATTTACAGCAAGTTGTAGAGAACTGTCCTTGACAGCAAATGTTTGTTGTACTGATGAATTAAACTTTGTACTGGAGGTTGTGCGATACTGAAAGCCCAGCCTGTTCATTAGTTTCATCATTAACTTTCTTAGTGTAGAAAAATATTCCATATTGGCTGAATTACAAGTGATCTGTAAACATACTGCTGGGGATGACATGGAGCAGAGAAGATGGAAATGTATAGGGCAATGACTTCATAAACTATAGTTGATAATTTATGACTATGTACAGTCAATTAAATAGAACTCCTTCCACTAAAGAAAACAGAAAAAACTATTATTAAAAACTCAATGGGTGAACTTGAAGCTGACACCACAAAATATGTAGAATAACATCAGGAAAATGTTATTCAAAATGCATCTTTGTTATAGCTGCTTTTGTTGTGAACAAGAGTAGGATTGCACTCTATAGGTTTTCTATAAACACAATATTCATGAAAATGAAGGGAATTACATAATAAAATACTTAAAAAAAACTTTTTAAAAAACCACGTTTTTCTTGTGGACTAAAAAGTAGAAAATAACTATTTACATACATTTGATGACAAAAAACGTGGGTACGTTCACCATCAAATTTCCCGACCCATCTGCCCGACCCACGTTTTTTGTCATCAAATGTATGTAAATAGTTATTTTCTACTTTTTAGTCCACAAGAAAAACGTGGTTTTTTAAAAAGTTTTTTTTAAGTATTTTTTTTTCTCCTTTTTAGTCCGTTGCTACACATGAAAAACGTGTTTTTTTTAAGTTTTTTATATAGTTTATTTTCTACTTTATCTAATCACTTGATTACGTATGACTTGACTAAGTGTTTTTAAATACACGGACTAAAAAAATCTTGAGCGACCGATACGCTTTAAACAGAGAAAGGGTGTAATTTACGTTGCTGGCGTGGAGATCTACTTACGAATCACGTGATCAAATCTCCCATAAACAAACAAATAAACGCGAAGCTGAGTTAAGAAAAAACGTGTTTATGTGTATTTTAGCATGCCCAGCGTACCAACCGTGTCACCCTTAACAATGTATTACCGTGTCCGTTCTCCTTTTTAGTCCGTTGCTACACATAAAAAACGTGGTTTTTTAAAAAGTTTTTTTTAAGTATTTTATTTTCTCCTTTTTAGTCCGTTGCTACACATGAAAAACGTGGTTTTTAAAAAAGTGTTTATAAATACACGGACTAAAAATCTTGAGCGACCAGGATTCGAACCTGTGTTGTCGCGGCCACAACGCGAAGTACTAACCACTATACGATCACGGCCAGCGCGCTCACATCGATTGGGGCCGAAGTAACTGTGTCAATAGGCCTCAAGTCTTGTCGGTATCTTTAGAAATCATGTCCTCAATTTTATGGTCCTTGGGGCGTAATTAAATTAAGCTAATTACGGTCACTAATTGCTAGTTTTTATGATTGCATCTGAAATTGTTAGGCGAAAGTAGCATGCATGCCAAATTTCAGGTCTCTAGAGCAATCAGAAGTGGGCTAATTTTCGATGTCAATTTTAACAACAAACATCCAAACAAACAAACAAACGCGAAGCTGAGTTAAGAAAAACGTTTTAAAATTAGCTGTTTTGAGTATAGCATTTGGCACCATCAAGTTCATACGTCTTAAAGGCAAGTGTTTTGTTTGATTTGGAACAGTTTGTTTACCCTATTTTAAGATGAATAAAATGTTTATGTCATCTTTGTCCTGAGAATGCTCTAAGATGTCTTAGGTAGAAAATAAAATACTTAAAAAAAACTTTTTAAAAAACCATGTTTTTCTTGTGGACTAAAAAGTAGAAAATAACTATTTACATACATTTGATGACAAAAAACGTGGGTACGTTCACCATCAAATTTCCCGACCCATCTGCCCGACCCACGTTTTTTGTCATCAAATGTATGTAAATAGTTATTTTCTACTTTTTAGTCCACAAGAAAAACGTGGTTTTTTAAAAAGTTTTTTTTAAGTATTTTATTTTCTCCTTTTTAGTCCGTTGCTACACATGAAAAACGTGGTTTTTAAAAAAAGTTTTTTATATAGTTTATTTTCTACTTTATCCAATGACTTGATTAAGTATGACTTGACTAAGTGTTTATAAATACACGGACTAAAAATCTTGAGCGACCAGGATTCGAACCTGGGTTGTCGCGGCCACAACGCGAAGTACTAACCACTATACGATCACGGCCAGCGCGCTCACATCGATTGGGGCCGAAGTAACTGTGTCAATAGGCGTTCAGTCTTGTCGGTATCTTTAGAAATCATGTCCTCAATTTTATGGTCCTTGGGGCGTAATTAAATTAAGCTAATTACGGTCACTAATTGCTAGTTTTTATGATTGCATCTGAAATTGTTAGGCGAAAGTAGCATGCATGCCAAATTTCAGGTCTCTAGAGCAATCAGAAGTGGGCTAATTTTCGATGTCAATTTTAACAACAAACATCCAAACAACCAAACAAACAAACGCGAAGCTGAGTTAAGAAAAACGTTTTAACAGCTCTCTCATGTCTTCATCTGTGTTAGATATACCACATACACATAGCAGTTTACCACTAATAATCACTGAATCTTTAACATACTGGCAGTAACTTATTTCTTTTCAAAGAGTGATTTTTGTATTTATAAAAAAAAATATTTAATTCTTTGTTAGTAATTTTTAATTTTTTTATAAAAATGTATTCCTTTTTCTAACAAGTATTTCTTTCTTCTATATAGATATAATCTCAACAAGATGGTGAAGTCAACCCTTGCTTGTGGACTACAAGAATGTTTGAGTAAAGAATGGATGGGAGATAACTTCAGGGACTTTAGAGTTGTGGTTGATGGCTCAGAGTATTTCTGTCACAAATTTATTTTAAGTGCTTGCTCCACTTTCTTTAAGACTTTGCTGGGATCGGATTTTAAAGAAAATAAAGACGAACGTGTTGAGTTAAAGAACATGAGCAAAGAGATTTTTGATGTTATAATCAATGCAATTTACAAAGGTGTTGATGGTCTGACACTAGACAATATCATTAGTGTGTGGCAAGCTACTCACATGTTGCATATACCATTTCTTATAGAAGAATGTGAAAGATTTGTTGTGGAAAATATGTCATTAGATAATTACATTGTATATTATCCAATGGCAAAACTTTTAAATTCAGAGAATGTCATTACGTTTACAATTGGATTTATGAAAGAAAATTTTGAACCTTTTTGTGTGACTGAGACATTTCTAGAATTTTCTTTTCCAATGTTGTTTTCCTTTGTGGATGATGATCGCCTTAAAGTAAAATCTGAAGATTTAGTTTTAGAATCGATCATCAGCTGGGTTTCTTATGTACAATGTAAACCACATCAAGTGGAATACAGTGACACTGAAACAAACAACACACAAGCAACAGCTATAGAAAAAACTGATGAAATACAGAACTATAAGAGCCAGGAGAAGTTGATTAATTGAGAAGATAACAAGGAGATAGACAGGAAAAAGTGTCTTGTTGAACTGTTATCTACAGCCAGAACATTTTTAGCAACTCGATGTTATCTCGAGAAACTACTGATTCACCCTTTGATAAAGTCATGCGATGAATCACTTGCAATTGTACACGAAGCTTTGTTGTACCATTGGAGATCCGTTTCTTTTCCCAGTAACTTTGTCATCCCTTATAGAAACTGTAGTGGTAAACGAAATGTCATGGCATATATTTGCAATGGAGAAATCTATTTATTTGGCCTAAACAGCAGTGAACGCACTTGTAAACTTGAATTGCTTATTAATAATTTTAAAAGTCAAAGTATCTGTGCCTTAGCTTCAATTGAATCAACTCTTTGTGTTATATATTCAAATACAAATTTATCTCAGTGTGATTTTGGTAGACTGACATATGCTCCTCACAATTGTGAAGGAAAAAATATTGCAACAGTTGATCCATCAAAAATTGCAACAGTTATTGCTAAATTATGTGGAAATAGCCGTTTTCAATTAACTTCACTAAATGGTACATTTGTTATTATAACGAATGATTCAGTTCACTCACACAATTCATATGATACTTGTTTAAACTGGATTCAATTGTGGAGAAGTCCGTATGGCACTCCAGTTGCTTATCAAGATAATACCTTAATATTTAGCGATGGAAATCGTGACCTGTCAGAAGTATATTGTAAAAATATCAACACTAAGTTGACTCAAAATATAAATATAAAGGGTCCCTCTGAAGATATCATCTGCATTCAAAAAGGGAGGAAAACATTTATCCTTCAGACAAACGGATCTTTAAAATCCGTAGAAACCATTGGTGATAATAAAATCCAGTTTACATTTATTATTCAACTTTGGAACGACTTTGACTGGGTATTAAAAGGAGCAGTATATTTTAAAAAGGAATTAATCTTATTTTGTTCCACCAAACCAACAGATGGGAAAAGATTTTTAACTTCTGTCCCTGGGCTCTTTGAAAAAATCAGAGCCGTTGAAATAGAAAGCCAATCAAAATTAGTTCCTTTGATTGTGCCAGAATCATGGTGCTCCTACTTGCAACACTGAGGTCTTTTATTTCCCTTGATATTGTTTGAGCAAGTATTACAAAGTTGTTTTTTTTTAAATGGATCACATGCATGTGAATAAGTAAGTGAAGGGGTTGTCCACAAATGTCACAATTTGATAGTTCAGAGTATTTCCGTCACAAATTTATTCCGAGTGCTTGCTCCACTTTCTTCAAAACTTTGTTCTAATCAGATTCAATAAACAGAAATGTGATGGGTCAAAAAAACAAGGCTTTCAAATCTAAACAAAAATTAAATAGTTTAGTTAAGCCGTAGGCCTATCAACAGTAAGAATTTTGTTTGTAAAATGATAAACATGTGTTAATCTATGCTTGTTGCGTTGTTAACATTATCTTTGCAATATTTCGCAATTGCTATCGAATATGATATGCTGTTTTTTTTTGTTTCTTTATTCGTTGCTATAATATTACAAATAAATAATTCTTGCCATTGAAAACTTGTATATATTAAATGTTTCTACTTTTAGTTGTTGATACTGATAACTGTATCAATATGTATTTTGGGTAAAAGGAATCTTATCTTCTGTAATTTAAAAATAATAAATCCCTGGTTGCGAAATAATTCTCTGTTTCTGGCATTTTACTACCTATGTTTTCCATTTGTTATGACTGGGGGATGATGTAATTCAAGAGGGTGAGCAGTGTTAAGATAAATAAAAAACAACTTTTATTTTGGCAGCGAACATTATTTGGCACACAACATAAGGGAACTGTCACAGACTGTATTATTATGTATCTTTATTATATTGTGTTTTGCATGAATGAAGAGTACCTGGCTAGCGGAAGAACTGTCTGAGCGATCGTCATGTGTTTTTTCATGTTTTTGGGCGAGATCGCTCATGTACGTAAGGGGAGAGAATGGACCGTATAAAAGGGAGAGCAAAAGGTGAACGGGTGTTGTGTGCTGGGACTTGGGACTTGAACTGTGGCAGTGAATGTAAGATGTCTCCATGACTTGGAGTCGTGACTGTGACTGTACTTGTTGAGTATCTTCTAATATGGATTTACCATGAATAACTATGGATTTATCATTCTCACTGTATATAGTGTAAATAAAGTCATCATTTGAAGTTGCCACTATTGCTTGTATTCCTGTGTGAAAACTAACCCACAACAACAAAGAATTCATGTTGTTACATATGGTGTCAGAAGTGGGGGCAACAACAGTTGCTACATTGTGAGCGTCTACTACTACTGTTACATTGTCAGAAGCAATTGAAGAAGTGTTGCTACATTATTATCAGACGTGTTGATACATTGGAGTCAGGTGATTGAAGAAGCTGATACATTATCGTCAGAAATGGTCAACATTTGTTACTTTTTTGTTGGCTGAAGTGGACGTATACTCAAGTTGTTACACTGATGTTGTTACATTGATGGATTAGATTGAAGTCAGAAATCTTCAACGAAGTTACAGTGTTACCACAAGTGATCAAAGAATTTTCACATTATTATTGTAAGCAGTTTTCAACGTTTTTGAAGTGGTCTTCCACTGTTTGCCAGTGAACAACGCTGGTATATCAAGCAAGTACATGAAATTATTAATAGTTATCTACAGTCAAGTCAAGTAATCAACGTGATAATTATTATCACATTATTTTCGACATTGTCTTACCAATGTCGGATACATATCGTGTGTTTCTTTTTCTATTTGGATTTAGCTGTTCAAGTTTTTTCTATATGGATTAGCTGTTCAAGTTCTTCTACTGTGGATGGGCAGATCTAGTTTATTAATTGTAAACTGTTCCTAAAGATGTTTTATCTAAAACTGGACAAATTTCTACTCTGTAACAGGCTACTAGAACTATTTTGAATTTTTTCAACTTTTTGGAATCAACAAAGTGAACTATTTTTGGACGTATATATGTACTATGAACTTTTCTTGGATTACCAGATGTCTGTAATCAACTAAAACAAGCCAAAAATCAAGAAAGGGTATTGTAAATTAATTAACACTTACCTATTGTTAACTAATGAATTTATATTTTATGTCATAAATAGAAAATATATCAAAATGTCGAGTTTTGAAAAATATACAGCACTAGTGAAGGAACTTGACATTCCGAAGGAAGACAGGTTGGCGTTTATAAAAGATCTACTAAAGAATGATGAAGAGAAAGCTGATAAAGAGAAAGCTGAGAGAAAAGAAGAAGAGAAGGCTAGAGAAGAGAAAGCTGCTAAGGCGAAAGCTGAAGAAAAAGAAGAAGAGAAGGCTAGGAAAGAAGAAGAGAGGGCTAGGAGGTTAGAAGAAAGGAATTGGAAAATAGAAGATGATGAAAGGAAGATTGCAGCAAAAAGAGAAGAAGATGACAGAAAGCACAAGCATGAAACAGAACTGGAAGAATATATGGAAATGGCGAGGGCACAAGGCATTAAGAAGATGAACAAGCAGATAGCCTGGGCAACCAATCGACTTGAAAAAGACATAGAAGAAGCAAAAGAAGCATGGGACGAAGAAACAGACCAACCCCGACGAGCTCATGGAAATGTATTGAGAGAACTAGATGATGTGATAGAAATAGTGTGTAATAGATCAAGAGCTATTACAGACATGCATAAAGAAGAAGACATTTCAGAAGTAGATAAAGCAGAGGAGACTGTACAACCAAAAGGAAAGAAAAAAAAAGAAACAGAAAACAGAGAGCAGATAATAGGGCTGAAACTATGGAAAAACAAGTAGGCCTACATGAACTAGCATATAAACAAGAACTATTAGAAATGAAAGCTATAACAGACACAAATGAACCAAAATTAGAAAGTGAACAGACAGAATTTAAAGCAGAACTTGAAGAAGTAAATATTGGCAACCTTTGGAATGAAGAACTAAGTAACATAGTCCAGGAAGAATTGAAACCCAAGGATAAAACAGAGGTTGAACTTAATAATGATTTAAAGGTGACAGATACATTAGAATGTCTTAAGATTGACTCTTTATTAAATGATACGCAGGTACACGAGAATATTAGTGAAAGTTGTATCGTAAGTCCATCAGAGAATGGCAGTCAAAATGATTTAATAAGCCCATCAGTCAATGGCAGTGATGATTTAATAAGTCCATCGGAGAATGGCAGGAATCATGATAAACTAATGATGATTAATGAATCAGTGAACTTAATAAGCCACAATGAAGAGAACGTACCTATTGAAGATTTACTTCGAAAATTGGAGTCAAACTATAAAGAAGATATACTAGAACTCAAGAATAAATTTAACAAAGAAATGGAGAAATTAACACAGAAATTTATGTGTGAATTAGAATCAATAAAGAAGCACAAGGAAGTTAAGAAAGATGAAACAGTAACTAGAAACTACAATGTCATTGATGCACAGAATGAAAGTAAAAGAAATTTAGCAAACTATGAATACAGTCAACATGTTAATAAGAATGTCATTAATGTCATTAATGCACAGAATGAAAGAAAAAGAAATTTAGCAAACTATGAATACAGTCACCATGTTTATAAGAAGCCAAAATCTAGATGTTTTTACTGCGGAAAAACAGGTCATTACCAAAATCAATGTTGGCATAGGTTGGCAAATCAGAGAGGAACAATTATGTACAAAGAAAGTCATGTGGGAAATATAGTAATTTAAGAAAGAATATTGTAACATATTGGGATTTGTGAGGTCAGGGGAACTCACTCTTCTTGTATTGGTTATATTTATAATGTTGTTATTGAGTGATGTCCCTTGTATTTATCTATCATTGTTCCTCTTCCGTTTACGAATAAAGATGGCTACATGTTGATGGCTTCTATCTCAGTTGTATTCCTAATCTATTATATCTGGCGACGAGGATAAATGATCCACTAGAAAGAGCACCTACTTACTCAAATAGAGGTTTGCTAGAGCATATTTAGCTAAGTATTTCTAGAATAATGGCGCTGTATGGCCA